ACTTTTGCCAAGGCAGCGAGCCTGGTCCTCTGAGAGAAAAGGCACTTTTGCCAATGAAAAGGCTCATGAATGGGACCCAGATGTTCCAGGCAATATTGTTCTTAGTGATAATGAATTGCACATGCCTGGCACTCCCTGCCAACACCGAGGTTCCCAACAGCTTCTCAGAGAGACACTGGTAACTCCCTTGCACAGGTGAGGGCAGGGATTCACAGGCTCATCCTGCACCAGACTGGGCTTTGTGGTGCTAGGGAGCTCCAAGACCCAGAGATGTCAGCTGAAATGACTGGTGATCAGCTTCCCTGGAAAGCAGGGATGTGTTGATGTTTGATCCCAGGCAAGGAAGACACTGAAAAGCAGTGGTTCCTTCTGAAAGCCTCAGCCAGAGTTACACCAGAACAAGGACAAAATGGCAATGGGAACCCAGGAGCTTTGCAAACAAATTTTCTCTTCTTGTCACTAAACCATTCTGCTAGAGAGAGAGAGCTGCATGTTCTTTAAGAATAAAAACTGTAAAAAAGAGGAATTCTGCTAAAGATCCTTAATTTACTGTCTTCACACTTTCAGCTGGAAGGTCCTGCTGAGTGACCTTGACAATAAATTATCAGCTGATATTCAGGTTGTGTAAATGTCAAATGCAGCAGAGGGTAGAACCAGTCTTATATCAGCACACACACTCTCAGGCTTTTCTATATCTACAGGAAAGAGGTCTTGGTGTTTAGTAGCTATGAAAAAAGCAAACAAAATTACAGGGATAGCTAGAAGGGGGAAAATGGGCACAGAACAGCATTGTATAAATCAGAGTTAATTTTTATCTTTGCTACAGTGTGCAGATTTGGTCTCTCCATCTGAAGGCGTGAAGGAAAAAATAAGTGTGATATGAGAACTAACTTCTGATTTTACACAGACAAGTAGTAACAGGACAAGGGGAAAAGAGGGTAGTTTTGGGTTTTTTTTTTTTAAACTGAGAGAGGGTAGATTTAGATCAGATGTTGGGAAGAAATTCTTCCCTGAGAGGGTAGAGATGCCCTGGCACAGGGTGCCCAGAGAAGCTGTGGCTGCCCCATCCCTGGAAGTGTTCCAGGCCACTGGATGGGACTTGGAGCAGCCTGGGCTAGTGGAAGGTGTCCCTGCCCATGGCAGGGGTGGAACAGGATGAGCTTTGAGGTCCCTTTTCACCCAAACCACCCTGGGATTCCATGATACAAACCAAGTAATGGGGACTGGAAGAGCTGAGCTGAGGGAAGGGTACAACAGACAGTAACAAATACAGCATTGGCACAGAGGAGATGGACACAGAGCACCAGAATTAGAGATTAAGCAGAACTAACTGGTAATGTCACGAGAACAACTTTTCCCAGAGTCCATTTTTTTAACCAGGTAGGTGAGGGTCAGGTTAGAGGAGTGGAGCTTCTCTTTTGCTCCCATTAAGGGGCTAAATTGCCTCCTGGAGGTTTCCAGGAGCTAAAGCTCCCTGTGGACCCAAACAAGGAAGGATCTGGGTTTTGACCTTGTTTGCTCTAACTTAAGGGGTTCTCTGCTATGTGATGAAAGTAAAACTACTTGAAGATTTTCTCTATCCAGGTCCCTCATTACAGGGCAAACCTCTCTATTGCTTGGCCTACTTTGGAAAGTTCACTCCAGCTCTGTCCCACACACACCCCAGCATCTCTGCTGAGCTCCTCAGGTGACATCAGGAAAGAAGGGAACTGCAGCCCACTGCAGATATGCAGCAGCAAGGACACATCTGCAGCATGGGGGATTTCTTGGCAATGTAAGGTTTTACTTGAGGACCCCTCTGGTGAGTGGGACTGAAAGAGGTGCTGATTCCTGGCTTGAGACTTCTGGCTGAATTCAGCTGACAGAGGAAATGAGGGACACTACTGAGAGCTGCTGTCATGCACTTTATTGGGCTGTCAGCACAGCACCATGGGGGTTTCACATGCTGACTGCTGAGTGAAAAATCTCTTATGCTCAAGAAAGATGATGAGTTTTGTAAAACAACCTTTACTTCATACAAACCATCATCTAAAAAGTATTCAGGATTATTTCTGTGTGCAGATACTTAGATACATTTGGTCCTGAATAGATCAGACTGGAAGGTAACCACCTATTCCCATGAACTATCCTGATCAAATATCCACCTCTCTTCTGCCATCAAAGCACAGTGCCAGCACCCCAGCACACGGAACCCTTGTTATTAAAGCTGGGAAAGGATGGTGCCAATTACAGAGATTGATGGATTTCATGATGCACACAGGGCTCTGCTCACTGAACAGCCTGCAGCCCTAGCTCAAAGCCTGCAGCAGCAATAAATGGGAGTAAGATCAGGGAATTCCTCAACAAAGGTGTAATTTATTAGCAGGCACCAAACCTTTAAAGTATTCCAGATTGAGGCTGGGACACTCTGATGTCAGCACTTGTGGCAGTGCAGGAGGGTGAAATGGTTCTGCCCAGAGCCCAAGGTGTGTGGAGGAGGAACAGCACAGCTCTGCACCTGAGAGGCTCCTGCCCTCAGCCGTGGTCAGCCGTGGTCAGCCGTGGTCAGCCGTGGTCAGCCATGGTCAGTCAAGGTCAGTCATGGTCAGTCATGGCCAGCTGTGGTCAGCCATGGTCAGTCACGGTCAGTCACAGTCAGCCATGGTCAGTCATGGTCAGCCATGGTCAGTCATGGTCAGCCATGGTCAGGCACGGTCAGCCATGGTCAGTCATGGTCAGCCATAGTCAGTCACAGTCAGCCATGGTCAATCATGGTCAGTCATGGTCAGCCATGGTCAGTCATGGTCAGTCACAGTCAGCCATGGTCAGTCACAGTCAGCCATGGTCAGTCATGGTCAGCCATGGTCAGTCACAGTCAGCCATGGTCAATCATGGTCAATCATGGTCAGCCATGGTCAGTCATGGTCAGCTGTGGTCAGTCACAATCAGCCATGGTCAGCCGTGACCAGCCATGTCCGTGAGTGCTGACCAGGCTGTGTAGGAGGGATTCCCTTGTGCTCAACCATATCTGCCCTTGGCTTTCTTCCCCCAGGGGCTCACTTTAACCCCTGTAGCTGGGGGTTTCCAATGTTTGCAGCAGCAGCCAGATCCTCCATCCACCTGCAAACCCAGACATTTGCAGAGGAAGGTGCACATCTCATCTGCACCCTGGCCAGGGGTGTCTTCCCTCCAGCTTGGCTGTCTTCTGGGAGCATTTGCTTGTCAGCTCAGTGGGTGAGTCTGGAGCAGGGACATATTCCTGGCTGGGGCACAGGAGGGACACTGGGTGACTTTCCACTGGTGATGTGTTGACAAGGGCTTGCATGGAAGCATGGGAGAGATTTATGGGGCCAGTTCTGCCAAACACTTGTGATCCCACAAAAATGTAGCATCGTGTCCCACAGAGCCTGGCAGGATCACACATGTGTTCCCTTCCAATTGTATGTGGTGGGACATTATTCTCTCCCTTGTGACCTAATGGTCAATGACTTTTATTTCTCAAGCTTGCCCGTTTAATTAAGGAGTTGCTTCTTGCCCACAGTATGGGATGAGCCGGAATGAAAGCAGCATGCTTTGGAGGCTGAAATGAAACCCCAAATGTCAGCTCACCCGCTGAGTGAGCTATTAAAGCTGACTGAAGTGGTTGCATTATGGTGGCCAGGGGTTGTCTTGCAGAATGAACACTATTGTGGGTGAAAACTACTTTTTTTTTTGATTTTTCTCAAGTTTCTTTTTTCTTTTCTCCTAAATAAGTCTTTATGCTTTGTCTAAACAGATGAATTTGATGCTTAATAAAACTCTGAACTGTGCTTTGTCCAAGCACTTTCTATGCTGCATGGTCTCAGTAAACACTTTAAATTTTGAAAGGGAAATAATTGCTAAACTTTCACTAAGGCACTACATGCTGAGGTTACTTAACACCCTGGTATCAGTACAAATTACCAAACTAAAGGTGGCATCTCATATGGATAGCGGAGCTCTACAGCAGCTGGCAATCACACCCGAACTTGCTAATCAACACTAAAGAAGCAATAAATATCTAATTTGCACATGTGAAGTTCCTTTCAAAGGGAAGATAATCGGCAAGCCTCTGTTGATATAAAGATGCCCGTCCTGAGCAGCTGCCAGAGGGACCAGTTCTCTTTCTGCTGGCAGGCTGTGGGTGGTTTGGTGTCTCACTGCCCATGGAGTGAATGTTTCCATGCTGGAGCAGCACCGCTGGCCGTGAAATGCTTACAGAGCAAATTGGACAATAACCACGGCGGACATCTGACCTGCACATGTCCCACAGTCACACAAATAAGCAGGCACGGGCTTAGACAAGGTGTTGGCATTAGACCTTTGGTTTAAAATCGTATTTGCTAATAACAGGGGGGAGGAGAAGAAGTGAGCTGGTATGTTTTCCAAGAAATGAAAATACGACTTTTTTGACCTGACTGCAAATTGTTGCAATATCATTTTTTTTTCCCATGTTGCTAGAATTTCCTGTAGTTTTAACACAGGGACTGGAGGAAGGAAAAGAAATGAGAAGGTTTCTGTTGCTTGACTCTTCAAGGAGAACAATCTTTTTTGTTTCCAGTTACTGATTTTTTTTTTTTTTAAATACAAAATATTTCTTGAATTACATCAGGGAGCTTTGTAGCTGTTCACTGAAAAGTGGGGAAAACATGACAAAAATCAAAAGCGGCGATTTTTAGCATTTCATATCAAATGAGGAGGATTCCCTGACTCTTGGAACAAAACCTCTTCCCCTCGCCCCAGCAGCAAAACTCTGCTGGCGGGGAGTGACCAGCAGGGATTCCCGCAGGAGGGGGAGCCCGTGGGCAGCACCTTGTCCCAGCCGAGGGAATAAGAAATGGAGAAGGCTTACAGCACCACGAGGCTGCTGAGGTTCTGGAAGGCGAAATCGGGGATGTGCCAGATGTGGTTGAGGGCCAGGGTCATGGCTTGGAGCGCTGGCAGGTGGTTGAGGGCTCGCACGGGGATCTCCGTCAGGGCGTTATCGTCCAGCCACAGGTGACGCAAGGAGAGCAGCCCCTCAAAGCTGCTGTCGGGCACCACGGAGATGAGGTTTGCATCCAGGCGTCTGGGTGGGAGAGAAACAGGGTGGGGATCAGTGAAAGCCCTGCCCGCGGCGCTCCCCGCAGGGAGCGGTGCCGGGCCGGGATGCATTGATTGGCCAGGGAGGTTGGATCGGGCTGTAAATAGCGATTAGCCGAAGGCACCTGTAGCGACCCTGCCTGTGCTGGGAGAGGTCCGGCCACCGGCAAGGACCGGCCCTCCTCGGTGGTCATTTGGTGCTGCCCCTGAGGCAGCTTCTGGAGCTCGGGCTGAACCCGGGGATGTCCCTCAGGCAGCTCCTGGAGCTCGGGCTGAGGCCGGAGCTGCCGGGCCCGGAGTCTCGGGGCTGCCCCTCAGGCAGTTTCTGGAGCCTCGGGGCTGTCCCTCAGGCAGTTCCTGGAGCCTCGGGGCTGCCCCTCAGGCAGTTTCTGGAGCCTCGGGGCTGTCCCTGAGGCAGTTCCTGGAGCTCGGGATGAGCCCGGAGCTGTCCCTGAGGCAGTTTTGGAGCTGGGGATGAGGCCGGAGCTGCCGGGCCCGGAGCCTCGGGGCTGCCCCTCAGGCAGTTCCTGGAGCCTCGGGGCTGCCCCTCAGGCAGTTCCTGGAGCCTCGGGGCTGCCCCTCAGGCAGTTCCTGGAGCCTCGGGGCTGCCCCTCAGGCAGTTTCTGGAGCCCCGGGGCTGCGGCTCCCGGAGCTGCCGGAGCCAGCCCAGGGCCTGCTCGCAGCCGGGGATGGGCAGGACACGGCAGCCACGGCCCCATCCCAGCAGGGAAGGAAGGACCTGTCTGGGAACGGGAAATGTGTCACAGCCCTGCTCGGGTCCTGTGTCCGATCTGAACCGCCAGGTGAGCAGGAACTGAGCCTGTGCTCTCCTATCGCACCTTTGGGCCTTTCCTCCCCCTCCATTTGCCAACTGCTTCTTTTTAATCATCATGGAAAGCTTAAGGCGGTTGAATTTCAGGTTTAATTTTACATGAGAAACTTTAATTTTGAACACTTGTTTTTGTTTCGAAATAGAATGACAAGCCAAAAAATATTAAGGTTATTATGAAAAAATAGTTTAAAACTTAGGTTTGGGAATCATCTCTCTGAAGACCTTTTATTGCAGTCATAGTGAGCAGGATACAATGTGTTATCTGTAGATTTTGAAATCAAATTATAAGAGGAAAATACTTTAGATTTGGACAAAATACCAGGAACCAATTATACAAAATTTTAATTTCCATGCACAGTCAACAGAGCTGATTTTATTTTTCCAAGCTATCTAAGGCAGAGATCTCTGAATTCAAATTGCAAAGAGGAAGCACTTTGTCTCTTATCAAAGCATGAGAGAAGGAACTTAACAGAGCTGTCATGGCCCAGCCCTCAAATCAATGATCCTCCAGAAAGGAATGTGGTAAAGAAATTAGTATTCTTGACTATATAAAGTAATTTTTTTTGATGAAAGTTGAACACTGGAGCAAACCCCCAGACACTGCTACCCCCAGGCACGACTGTTCTCAAGGAGTACTGACATTTCTCAGTTCACAGAACACTGCAATGAGCTGCAGGAGGAGGAGACCAACTGCCCCATCACGAGTGGGAGCAGGGAAGAGGCTGGGTGCAAGCCTTGCTCTCTGAAAAGGGGTGTGGGTGGTATTTGCTGGGTGAAATTCTCAGATAATCCTGGGAAACAAACCTTCCCTACATCACAGGAAGAAGCATTTCCTGCCCTGGCTGGCCTGACCTGTGTGGACAAATCTGGAGATTTGTACCTGGTTAAGAACTGCAGTCAAAGCTTCTTGAGTTCTCCTTCAGAAAAATATCCTTTAAATGCAGAGTACAAGCACTGGTGCAACATCACCTTAGCCTGGAATGATAACTCAGGGTGGGTTAAACCCCTGTTCCATTACTCCCATGTTGCCACATTAATGTATTAACCTCAGAGGGTGCTGAGGCCCTGGCACACGGAGCATAGAAGTGTCCAAGGCCAGGCTGGACAGGGCTTGGAGCAGCCTGGGATAGTGGAAGGTGTCCCTGCCATGGAACTTTGAGGTTCCTTCCAGCTCAAACTATTCTGTGATTCTATTTTCCCAAATTTCAATACCCTTTTTCAATGTCCCTTTTGCATTGATGCAAAGGGACATTTTCTGGTGCAAGGCTGTTCAGTTGAGAGGATCACAAAATCACATCGCACCCAAAGCTCTGTTCCCACAGGTTTTGTGTCTTTGCTCAGAGGGTTGACACAAGATTTTGATTTTTTCCTGTTGAGAGAGTGGGCATTGCAAATTCTGCCCCCCAAAACTGCAAACAAATCAGAGAATAACATCCTTCATCTTCTCAGGACAACAAGTCCAAAGAATAAAGATCAGAAAAGCAAACCCTGAAGCAGCTCAGAGTAAGGCTAAGGATTCCATTTGAAAATTTCATCAAAATGTTTTGGGACAAACAAAAACTTTTTGAGCAAAATTAAAACTTCTGCAAGAAATGTTAATCTTTGCTTATTTTTTCCCATTGCTTCCTCAGCATAAGAATCCTGTTAGGTTTTGGCATCATAAACTGTTAAAATAAAAAAAAAAGCAAAAAAAAAAGCAGCATTGCTTACTTTTCCCAGAGATATTCTTTCATCCAAATGCCTATAAGTTTACTAAAATTGTTATAAAGTGAATTCTCAGTTTCAAATTTAATTAATTAAAGAACAGGCAATAAAATACCCATGAGAATAGTTATAATTTCTCAAACCCAAACTAAGCTTTCATAAATGGAGATGCTAAACCAGAGCCAGGGGCTGGTACACGAGGCAGAGCTGGGATAGGAATAGGGATGAGGGAGTGAGGTTTTCATCCCACTTTGCTTATGAACTCCTGGGTTCCAGTAAACACTTAAAATTAAAAATAAAATATAAATTTATTATATTTATATTTGTTATATAATTATTACTGTATAAATATAAATAAATGTGGCTCAGATGTGACCCACAGGGTTTCAGTGTGGTGGTGCCCTAGGAGTTTGGGAAACCATTAATGCTGCTGGATTTGCTCTGTGGCTGTTTAAAAACACCCAGGAAAGGCCCTTTATCTCCTAGGGATGTCCATAGGTATGAGGAGTGCGGTGCAGGTCCTTGGTGGAGGTTTTTGAGCTACTTGGACACCTCCCTGTCATTGTGGATCCCTGTGGGGAGTACATGGGCAAGAACTTGGATCCATCCAAGGAGTTTGTTGCCACTCCTCGATGGCCTCTGGCTGTGGATGTGCTGCAGCCTCGTGTGTCCACACCTCTGTATCTCCACACCTCGCTGCCAGTGGCTCCACCTCTGCAGGACTCAGATAAACCCCAACTCTTCTGCTCCTCAGCTCTGCAGGGGCTGCCCAGTGGCCTCCTGGTGAGGTCCATGAGACACTCTCTGGGGTTAGGTTCTGGGGAGGTGTTGGGAAGCTCCAGCCATGTAATTATTAATTAATTAATAATGTAATTAATTACTGTCAGTGTGCTCCAGAGAGTGGAGACCAGAGCTCAGGCAGACTCCTCCATGGGGCAAAAGGGAGACTTTCTGCTGCTTACAATGAGCTGGACCTGAGAAGTCAGAATCAGCAGCCTGCTTGGACCACAGCACAGTGAGATGCACCTATCTGGATACAGGTAAATTAAAATTAGGAATAAGGAAGTGCAGCATGACAGGCAGGACTCCTTGTGTGCCTTTGCAGCACTGATGAGGGACAGGGAATATGGGCATGGTGACAGCTGCATTCCTGGCACCAAGGGATGGTTAACTGCTCCTCAGGGAGCTGCTGGCTCTTTCTGGAAGAGATGTGCATTCTTTCTAATAAAAGATGTGCATGTGGGGATTGCTAATTGCTATGGCTTTCAGACAGCTTTCTACTCTCTTCTGGAAGCAGAAAAGCTGAAGTTCTTGGCACAGAGTTGTTAGTAATTATATCAATTATACAAAACAAAAACCAACCCAACAGTTCTCTCCTTTCTTCAGTGTGTGACTCTGGCTCTGTAAGTTTTTGTGTTATGATTTATACCTGAGGTAATTGGGCTGATTAGTGGGTAAATGAGACAGCACAGGCTGGGGCTGGCTCCTCACCTTCCACGGAGATGTTTTAATCTTTATTTCACCAAATCACTCAGTTGGTTTTCCTTGCAAGCTTTAACCCTTTGCTTGCTTGCAGAGGAAGATGTTCCTTCACGGAGCTGCTTTAGGAGAGGGGCTCATCCCTCCCCTGCTGTCAAGCAGTGCTCTGGGTCTGGAGAGAGGATCACACACAGTGACTCCAGATGTCAGCATCAACAAGATTTCCAAGTGACTTCACAGGCTCAAGCAAGGCTCTGCAGAGCGTTGGCCAGTCTGTTGCATGCAGAAGGAGGTGATTTTAAGTGGGACATTGAAGAACAACAGCTTATGAAAACCAGCAGCTGCTGAAAGTCTCAACTTCTGGCTTTAGAGCTGCATCTGCTGCTTAGAGTTACAGGGTTTTTATATGACTTCAACTTGACACTGACTCAAAAGTGCTAAAGGTGCCTGCAGTCACTTCAGACTTTACTCCATTTCCCCTTTCAGGGACTACAGGGGTAGTGAGAGAGGGAGCTGCCTGGAAGAACATCCAAAGTCCACTCGTCTGAGGCATCTTTTTCCCTGAGCAGATGTTCACATCTGTGCAGAGCCATGGTGAGAGGAGCAGGTCAGCACCAAATGTGAGCGTTGCCAGTTGCTTCCTTTGCTGCTGCTGTTGTGGAGTGCCAGCTCTGGGGAGGCAGAAGAACCTGTGTGGGATGGGAAAGGGAAGTTTCCTTGGCCAGGACATTTTCAGGTTGGTTGCATATTGAGCTCCAGGGCTAAGGGCCTAACATGCCTTGGAAGAGCCCTTTCAAAGCTTTGAATGTTGTCTGTGTTTGATAAATGCTTGAGGAGAAATCAGCTGTCTTCTTGCCAGAAGCAGTCCAGAGAGGATGGTGGGATCAGGACCACTTCTAGAAGGAACCAGGCTGATAGGGAAGTCCTTTTCGAAGGAGAAAAGTGGGAGATTCCTCCTTTCCAATGAGCAGAAGACAAGCCAATGCCACCAGTGCAGCCTGGCCAGGGATGGGGTATGTGAAGTCCTCAGTGCCACGTGTGGGTCTTGAGGTTTGTATTAATCCTGAGTTCTTGTGTTTTCTGGGTCACAGACCCAGCAGTTTTGAAGAACTGCCTTTTCCCAAGAAATGCTTCCAGAGTGTTGCAGAGGATGTACAAGTGCATTTCTGAGCTGTTGGTAACAGAAGTGTCAGAATAACCAGAATAACCAGGGGATGACCAGAACCAGTCTCTCTGTTCCCTAACAGATATGGTGCAAGTTTCAGCCTTTGACTGGCAGAACCAAATTCACCCATATCTTACCATTTCGTTTTGGCTGTGAAGCATTTACAGGAGGAGCTGCAGCCTGGAAACCAACAGAAATGCTCAATACCGTGCTGTTGGGAGATATCCCAAGTTTTGCTGCTGTTTTTTTCCTTCCTCACACACATCAGAGACAGTAAGAGCTGTCTGTCTGAATGTCTTAGGTCACCCATGTGCAGTAACTGGCCTGCAGCATAGACTGGGATGTTCCCCACAGCCCAGTCACCACAGGGTGCTGGCACCTCAAACTGCAGCCCATCCTCACAGGATTTTTTTGCAATATGTTGGGCCCTTGATAAGGCTGGAGGAGACTTGCCACTGAAGATCATATGCAGCACTGAGTGGTGCAGGGCTGGGCTGTTCTCTCTCCAGACCAGGCAGCTCCTCTGTGGTTCTCTGTCCACAGCAGACATAAAGAAAGGACATTCTGGGGGGAGAGCTGTGGCCATTGAAGGTGTGAGAGCTGAGGCAGCAGCATGGCGAGGAAGTGCTGATTGCCCACCCCTCC